TATTATAAAAGGGAAATCACAAACAGATTTCACTTATAAATGAGGATGCAATATGATAAACAACATATTAACATGTTGAATTAAAAATTAATGTTTAAGTAATGTACTTTGGTCAAAATTAAATACAATTTATATGAGAATTAGTCACTATTTTCTTTTCTTTTTTTGAATACATAATCATTTACTACTTGTTTGTTACAGAATACGCAAGACAAAATACAAATAGCAAACAAGATTTTTTTCCTTGTTATGGTTTTACCAAAGTCTATAAAATTTAATGTTTCTTCTGCTTCAAATTTAAAATGTATTCCATATTCATATACACATGGCCACGACCAAGAAACTAAAATTTATGTGCTCGACTGTTATTACTGGTAGCCTGGATGACTATTACTTGCTCCACAATTTACTTTATCCAAATTTGAAATCTCTTTTAAAGATGAAAAAATGTTTTCTGCTCCACTTCAAATGGCTGCAATATTCTGATATCACACTCAAAATACTATTTCCCCATTAGAGTTCTTTTCCCTGATCTGCTTTCCCTGTCCCTGCTGTTACCTCTCAGTGCCTTTATCTCCTGGTATTCTCCTCCATCCATCACCTCTCTCCATCCTAATGAGGTTACCCCCAAGCCTGGAGAACATTCTAGGCACACTCCTGCCTGGGGCCTTTGTATTTGCTCATCTCCTGGAATATTCTGCCAGCTCTCTAATTTCTATAAGCTCTTTACTCACAATTCACCTTCTCTTTGTGATCTTCCCTAGACAGCTTATATAAACGTTTAACTTGCCCCCTTCCTGGCTTCATTTTTTTTCCCTCCTTAGCTTGTATCACTATCTAACATGTCCTATATAATTACGTATTCATTCTGTATATTCCCACCTGCCCCTTATAAACTGTAAGCTCCATTAGGCTCAGGCTCTATGTCCATTTTGCCACTAATGTATTCCCAGCATCTAAAATAATACCTAGCATGTAGTAAGCCCTGGATAAAATAGCTGATGAATATCTATTGCATTTTAAATGTGGCTACATTTATTAGCAAGCAACACTATTAGAGCATATGATTTCTTGTCTAAATCACTGACTAATTCACATGACTCTAAACATTATTTTCTTTCTTATCTCTAAAGAAAACTTAACATTCTATAATGCAACCGTATTTCAGCCCACAAATTTCCCCACTGAAAATTCTCATAAAAGTTAAAGACATGCTTATAGTCACACAATTATCTGAGGAAGAATAAAAGCTGATTTAAAAAAAAAAAAAAAGAAACTAACCTGGATAAAACAAAATGAGCTCTTTTGAATGGGAAGGACTGGCCTTCCCTTCAGAAAACCTAAATCCGGTGCCTCTTATCAACCCTGACTGGTGTGTGGGCCTGGCTGTGCAATTTAAACTTCAAAACTCGTGACACCATTCTAAGTTTGCAGTAAGGTAGGTAACTTGTATTATGTACGGGGCACAACTACAACCGAGGCTTTACCTAACAAATGCAAACATTGTAACCTAATGGTTTGTACCCTCGTATTAATCTGAAATTCAAAAAAAAAAAAAAGAAAGAGATCTGTATTTATTTTCCCTTTCCTGCTCAAAGGCAAAGATGCCGGAAGAGTACAGACACCATCAGGAGAGTGTTTCATAGACTCACCTCTTCATGAATCAGCTCCAGCGGCTCTATCATGTACACATAGGTGTTATCTTCAAACATACCACTAGAACGAAGAAACCACACAGGGAGGGAATTTAAAAATACAGCAAATGGCAAGAAATCGCATGGGAGCCTCATTCCTGTGCCTTTAAAAGAAGAGATCCCTTTATAATCCCCCAAATCTAATTCATCTGTCTGTGGCCCTGGCACTCTCTACTAGATAGCATGTAGGCTATGAAAATTATAAAAGTACACGCCAAGAGCACATAGGTTATACCTGATGTAATTAATTTTTGAAATGAAACAGACAGAAGATTAACCTGGGGTGGGGGGATTCATACAGGGCAGTACCTCAAGTTATTATTCCAGAACAAGGTAAAACTAGTGCAAATTTCCGGTTAGGCCAATCCAGCCTCATCTAAATGAAAACATATGGGTCCTTCATAGATAAGAATAATCTAAAACCATCTGATTCTGAAGAGGCACACAGAGGTATCTTTAGGCTTATAAATTGTGAATTTCCATCAAGCAGTGTGACTGAGTCATACAAATCACATTTAATTTTGAGAGACAGGGAATTTTTATAAAGGGGTGAAAAGAAGAATTTCAATTTAAGATCTTTTGTCATCGCATGGCCAAAACTAGTTCTTTATATGAGGTGCTACCATGTTTGGGTGCCGACAGAGAGTTTTTTAAGAACATGCCTCTGTGTCAATGCCAAAGTATGTCCTCCTCTCTTTGTCACCTGCGCCCCCACTCTTGCCTGGCTAACTCCTACTTATCCTCAGGTCTAACTGATACAGCTTCTGCAAACCCCTCTGGGAAATCTCCCTGGGCCAAGTTTGATCACTTCATAAGCCCCTGTTCACCCCTGTTATCGCATCTTGCAAAATGGCAACTAAACACTAGTCTGTGTCATCATTTGTTTAATCTCTGAACCTCCTACAAACACTAAGTGTGAAAGAGGACAAGGGCTTTGCGTTCCTTGTGCACCACGGCATGTGCAGTCCTCAGCATGTGAGAAGCACAGAAGAGTCACTAAAATGAATATCTATAAAAACCAAAAGGGAAAGGGTGGACAAATCAGAGCAGTCATGGAGGGGAGGAGGACCCAGTAAGAGCCTCACGTACTGAAGTCCATTGCAAGTCGACAGGGCCACAGTGGAGTCCTTGACGCCCCTGATGGTTCCATGGTAGTAACAGTGCTCTCCGCCCTACAAAGCCGAAGGTTGACTGGTTAGAGCTTTGGCATTGTGAGTCACTCTCTGGATGCTTCAACAAAGCAAAAGAAATGCAAGGATGGGAATGTACGTGAACTGTGTACTGACAACCCTAGAAACTCCTCCTATACCAGCAATTCTCAACCTGTGGGTCGCGACCCCTTTGTAACAATGAAAATACATCCTGCATATCAGATATTTACTTTATGATTCATAACAGTAGCAAAATTACAGTTATGAAGTAGCAACGAAAATACTTTTATGGTTGGGGGTCAACCATGAGGAACTGTATTAAAGGGTTTCAGCATTAGGAGGCATTAGGAAGGTTAAGAACCGCTGTCCTATATGAAGTCACAAATAGGACCAGGCAATTTTTCAACTTTTCTATAACCAAATATGTGTGTTAATGAAAGAAAAAGAATTTAAAAGGAATGACACCAATATCACTGATAAAATTTATGTGTACTTCTCAAGCATGTTATTATAGGAGTAGGTAGTTACCAAACATTTAGGGAATAAAGACTTCTTCCTGACTGACACCCCAAAAGTGTTGTTTATAATCACTGTCAGTGATACGTCGTTGGATGGAAAACTATACAAAATCCTATGGCTTTCCTATCTTTTAAAATTAATTTCAGAGGAGTTTTTAGAAACAATACGTGAACTTATTTTTCCAAGTCAAATGGTATTTTTTAGAAAACACAGAAGTTTTCCTTCTCCCTCCCTCCCCACCTCCAAGGCAACCATGTTGAAGTCTTAACTGTTCCTTCTGGAGTTTCCCTATATGTTTTTGCATGGAGTATTTATTTTGCTGTGTCCTGATTACATTTTAGAAATTATCTTCCTCATATAAAATCTTGAAAACCCCTCTTGCCCCCAGTACATTCCAATATGGATTACTAGGTTTTGGTTAAAGTGCTACTTAGTTCACATTATGAGTAGGCAAATATTGTCCACAGCTGTGTCACTCTAATTCATTTTCTTCCTTGCTCCATTTTTAAATTTTTTGAGAATTTTTGCTTCATTTTCTTGTTTCCTTATTTTTTTCACATAGCACTTACACAGTCCCTATTACCTGAGAATATTCTTCGGTCAATATGGTCCAACCAGACAGCGTGTTACGTCCATTTGTCCCTGGAGACACCCCTCTTATTTCCCTCCACCCTCCTGCTTTCGTCCATCCTTGCCGCGTCCCAGGCCCCAGGCACAGCTGCCAACCAGGACTTCTCTGTGGCCTCCCAGAGCTCTACATTGGATCCTAGACCTCACGTCTTCCCCATTTGCAGATCTTGGCCCCCTATTTTGGAGGCACCTAGCCTCTGACACTCTCCTGAAGAAGTGTATCTTTCATGGAAGATAAATCCGGTGAGAACCTGCATGTATGAAAATCTTTTTCACTCCTCACACAAGATCCATAATTTGGGTGACTATACAGCGCTAGGTTGGAAATTATTTTCTCTTTGCTTTTCAAAGGCAGTGTGCACAGGCTTCGCGTTTCTAATGCTGCTGCTGAAACTTGGATATTATTCTAACGGTTGACCTTTACTATAAAATCTGTTTTTGCCCTTTGAGAAGACTTCAGGAAATTCTACGCAGCCCCATGTGTATGAAATCTCATAATGTGCCCGCGTGTGGGTCTTTGCTCCTTCATCGCACTGGGCACTCTGTTTTCCTTTAATTAAGAAAACCATACATTTTAGTTCTAGGGAGCTATTTTTTATTATTTTTCTCAGAATTCCCTTCTTTCTATTTTTTGCCATAAACTGAGGCCCCCTAGCAGACTAGGAAGGAAGGGGTGGTACCTGCTTTATGGGGTGGGGAGTAAATCACAGATTCAACTACTTACTCTTCACACAGACTTTCAAACAATCTTTCTACTCTCAGATGCCTTCGATTCCTGAGCTTTTCTGGGATAGTGACGTAAGTTGAGTTGCTTCTTCTCCCCACTCCCCCCCGTAGAATTTCGCACAGCTGGGAAAGCTCAGTTAATAGAGTCACCACTTCTTCATCTGCTTTTACAGACACTTCCCACCTGCTGTCTTCTCTTCTCTGGTTTTTGTCCTTGTGGGTTTATATCCTTCTTTATTCCTTAACTGTTATTTAGGTGGGTTATTAGGAGGGAATAGAGATACACACACATTTTTACAGTTGTCCCCTGGTAGACACAAGGAATTGGTTCCCAGGACCCCACATACACCCAAATCCCCCCACACTCGAGTCCTCGACCTCCACAACATTCCATTTTGATCCATGTTTCATTGAAAAACTATCCTCATGTAAATGGACCTGCACAGTTCAAATCCATGTTGTCAAAAGGTCAACAACACATACATACTTAATAAAAGGTTGCTTTTCTGTTTTCAAAAACAAACTTGCATGTAAAATCTGTATATGTTTGTATGTGTTAAGTTTCATTTGCATATGCAACTCTGGAACTTATAAGGGCAAAATGGAATCACACATCTTAGCAAATTGAGAATCCAAGTGAATATTCAGCAATTAAATTTGAGACTTTCCACATGATTCTAAAAACAGCCATAGGTAACTGTAAATTCCATCAAACCAGCTAGTTAGCACTTATATCACACCAAAAGGCTATCTTAAGTCAAGTGATTGTTAGAAGTAAATGCCCAGCAAACACAGTCATATGTACTTGACCTTTCTGAGAAAAGCAATTTCCAGATTTTCCTAAAAATAGTCATCTTTTCCTCAGAAAATATTTCCAATATGTTTCTTAGATATAAGCTTTATTCACTTGCAATGAAAACCAAAAGTTGATGCTCTCCCACTATTAGAGTCATTGTGACCTACTTGAATTAAAGGTGGCATGTTGTCTGAAGGAAAACGCAGATCTGAATGGGTAACACCCTATTTCCTGGACCTTATGCATTATAACACTTGAGGTAACATTCACCCCGATGTTTCCCATAAGAAAGCTTTAATTCAGTGGTTCTCAGCCTGAGGGTCACAACCCACGGGAATTGTAGTAAAGGGTTGCAGCATTAGGAAGGTTGAGAACCACTGCTTTAATACCTAAGCAATTCAGCAGTTCCCAATTGAGTACTAGCAGGAGTAGCAGAGGATTTTCTGAATTTCTTATTATGAAATTTATACCAAGACTTCTTGAAGTATTACAGAAAAATACTATTTGGCAACTCTTCAGACCTATGCAGCAATTTATAAATATGACTGCAGATATCTCGTATAAAATAAACCCTTAGAGAGAAGCAACTCCTCTTGGGTAACAAGCATAGCAGTAGTGGGCCAGCACAGACAGCCTGTTTCCAGAGGGTATCAGTAACCATGACTTTGGATAGTCAGCCCCAGGCATCCCTTCCACTCAAGGACTCAGCCACCTTGAACAACCCTATTCACAGTCACCCCCATCTCCACGTACAGCAGGGAGTCAGGCACCAAGTGCTAACGGGCTTTGCTAGTTCTTTGTTCTTTGCCAAGATAGCAAAAAAAAAAAAAAAGAAAGAAGACAAAAAAGAAAAGGGTTTACCAGAAACAGCAAAAAGCCAAAATGAATTTCACATCTTCAGGCTCTCAAGCTACTGTTTCTTTCTTCAATGAGAAAGAATTCAGACACCTTAAGAAAGGTGGCTAGTGTCACCACATATGAGTGGGTCACAGATGTGTGACTTGGCAGAGGGTAGCAAGGAGAACCCAAAAGGGCTAATTCAGCACGCATCACAAGCCTCTGTCCATCCCCACAGACATCCGTATTTAATTAAATTCAACAAAAACGAAGCATCTGATAAGGGGAAGTTATTGGCTATTCAAAGGAAATTAAAAATCCTAGTCGTGGGCTAGGCACCTTTCTCAACCTACCATTTCCACACAGCTGAACACTCCACAAGCCAGACAAAGCTCAAATAATAACCCTGCTCCACAAGTTTGCCAAGCTCAGAATCCTTCAAGTAATGGAACACTAGAGCCATGTGCATCTTTTTTTTTTTTTGAGACAGTGTCTCACTTTGTCCCCCCCAGTAGAGTGCCACGGTGTCAGAGCTCACAACAACCTCTGACTTTTGGGCTCAAGCTGTTCTCTTGCCTCAGTCTCCTGAGTGGCTGGAGACTACAGGCACCCACCACAACACCCGGCTATTTTAGAGATTGGGGGGAGTGGTCTCACTCTTGCTGAGGCTGGTCTTGAACTTGTGAGCTCAGGTGATCATCGCCTGCCTTGGCCTCCGAGAGTGCTGGGATTACAGGTATGAGCCAGCACACCTGGTCTGCCATATGCATCTTTTAAAACACTTCCTACTCAGAAATGACTGAGGATTACAACTTTGTGACATTAGTGATAACATCTGGGGAGGGCGGAGATTTGTCTCCCTGATAGCACTAACCTAGTAAGAGAACTGTTTGATTCTACTTTAATGGAAATAGAATAAATGATTTAGATTTAACTTTTTTAAATTACCCCACCTTTGTGTCTGTTTAATTACCTCATTTGCTTCATAAAGTTCAGTCGGTGAATTCTTATTATGTTCATAGCTTAAGAAATTCCCATAAACTTGGACATACATAATGAACAAGCACTGATACTTTCAAGGGACTCCTGAAGGTCTAGATAAACATTTTGAAAGAAACTACATAGGCCTTAACTAGGAAATGTGTATATTATGATATCCAGGATATTCATATAGCATGATATCCATAATATATGATAATATGATAATATATGAATATCCATATTCAGAATGCATATCTTTAAATATTTCAACCTCATCAATTAGCAGGATGTGCCAATCTATTTTAAAAATTAGTGAGCTGATAGCAAAAGAGATATGGAAAAAAAAGATATCTATAATTGGACACATATACCACCAAATTCTGCAAAATAAGGAAATGAAAAAAATAATTTTAGAGAGTTGGGGAACTTGAGACTTGAACACCAAGTTTAATTATTTGCCTTCATTAAATTCAGTGGGGGAAATGTTCTTGCAGTAGTTTAATAAATAAAGTATTAGAACAGTTTGGCTGTA